TGGTGGTTTGGGATTCCGGTAGGGGTGAGTTACTAAACCGGGGGGGTCTTGTGCGGGTTCTCCTAAAAAACGATAAATTCCCCCCCCCCCCCCCCCCATTATCACCACACCGTCGCACCACACAATTCAACCAATCATTAACAAGAATAAAATAAATAATTCATACAAAAAAACACATATTAGCATTTCAGTGTCCACAAAAACAAATACCTTCATCAACAATTTTCGTTGATTCTCCTCCTCCGACGAGTGCTTCCTCTTCTTCTTCATCCACACACCGACGGGGTAGAACACAATGTTGAGAAAGAAGAGTGTTTCTCCTCCACACGCCGACGACGAGTGCTTCCTCTTCTTTATTTCTCCATCTTCCGGCGGCGGCGGCAGCGGCGGGGAGAAGATTGCCGGAGAAAACAGAGAAAAAAAAAAAGAAAACGGAGGAGAGAAAACAAAGAAGAGAGAAAAGCTGGAACGTAAAAGCGGCGGAATAAAAAATTAAAAATAAGATTAGGGTTTTGAAAAAGTATAATAGGCAATTAAGGGTAGTTTTGCAATTATGAAAATATCACATGGGTGGAATATTAGCTAAGGGGTTTTCTGTAATTATTTTTTGAAAAGAGTGATTTATTATCTATATTTCCTAAATGGGGAGTTTTCTCTAATTTTTCCTTTTTCAAAAGTTAAAAATGGGTTTCTATTTCCTTTCCCAAAATATCATAATGCAAAAAATCATTATGATTTTAGAATGCCTCGAAATAGGAACTTGAGAAATTACATTAGTTTATAGTCTCATGTTCCAAATTTGAATATAATGGAAATTTTTACAATATTTTTCTTTTTTCCGAACTTTTGCAGGAAAATGCAAGGAAATCTGAATGAGAGTTGGACAAAACGTAATAAATAAAAACTCATATCTGAACAACAAATTAAAATATAGATTTTCTTATAAGGAAAAATGCTAGATAAAGTTTCTGATACTAATTAATTTTTTATAAGGTTTTAGTTTAGTTGATCCTTCGATATTTATATTTTTCATATAAAATATAACATAATTTATATTATAGAATTACAAAATACATCATAAAATTATATTATGTATTTCGAAAAACCATAGAAACATTCGGAACTAAAATTGGATCGAAAATTGGAATTTTCGGTAATTTGATATACCATTCCGATTTCGTTCCAAATAAATTTAGAAAAATTGGAACTTTGGAAATCGGAATGAAAAATGGTTCCAATGGATATTTTTCGAATCAAAATTTGCGGGTTCAAAAATTCCATTCCAAATTTCCAATTACTACACATGATCTTTTATTTCTTTTTCTTTTTTAATAAAACATTAAAGGAGAAGATCTTTTATCAATTGAAAGTTGATAGTCAAAATAAATAGTACCAGAAAAACGCGTTCGTGGCGCAAACGACTTAAAAGCTGAATTTGCTGTTTTCAGTACTCTTAACCACCACCTACAACTAGAAACAACTTTTCCTGTCAGTATTCTTTAATTCGATAACAAGAAATTATTTTATCCTTCAATAAGAAAAAAAAATAAAAACAAAAGAGCTACGAACTCTTTTTTTTTTTTTACTTTTTGTAAGAAAAATTCTTTTCTGTGTAATTCTAGTTGGTTAAATTGGCAGTTGCGTACACAAGAAACAATGCTTACATATATATATATATATATATATATATATCGTCATAAGAATCGCCAAACTATGACTAGCTAGCTAACGCCTAACGCCATCTCTCTCTCTCTAGACTCTCTCTCTCTATGTACTGGCTTGCCTTGTTTGTGTCATTTATACAATGTAAAGAGAGAGAGAGAGAGAGGGAGGAATAATAAAATAGTGGTCACTTTTAGAAGATATCTGAAGCCCACTTAATTCTTCTGCTGCACTGTAATCAAGAAACACGCACAAAACACACACACAGAGAGAGAATGTTCAAACTGCACAGGCCATCAACTAACAAACTACCAAAGCAGAGGCAGAGGGTTGATTTCAAATTCTCCAATTTTCAAGCCCTTCAGGTAATTTTTTTAAATTGCCATTTATTTCCACATTGATCAGTTATTGGGTAATCTAAGTACAACTCCAAATCTTGAACACAAATCATTGATATATATGATTTTTTCTGGGTTTTGTATATAGTGCTGAAAAAATTCATTTTAAGTTATGATTGATTTGGGCTTTTCAATCAAGATATGTTAATTAATATATATTTTTTTTTGTGTGTGTGTGTGATCAATAGTGTATTTCTTCAAGATTTGGGATTTTAATCAGGATTCTTGGATCGAGAAATCGCTTTGATTTTTCGCAATTCTATTTGGGATCAAGAACTAGTGCTGGAATAACTTGCAAAAAAAATTGGAATATTTGGAATGATTTGGCTATGTATGTATATTTACTTGCAGGTACCGAAGGGATGGGACAGACTGTATGTATCTATAGTGTGTGCAGAGACAGGGAAAACAATGACGAAATTGGGTAAAGCTCTTGTCAAAAACGGCAGCTGTCAATGGACAGAGGCTCTATCCGAATCCATCTACATGACCAGAGACGCTTCATCCAACGCCTACGACGAATGCCTCTTCAAGCTTCTCGTTTCTACCGTATGACGATTATCATTTTCGCAATTTATAGTTTTCGATTAATTTTTTTTTTTCCGTTTTGTTGTTGAACCGCGTAATTTTAGGGGTCGACGAGATCGAGCCCCCTCGGAGAAGTAGTAGTCGATATGTCGCAGTACACAAGTGCACGAGTAGCCACCACATTTTCGCAACCGCTAAAGAAATGTAGTTACGGAACAATTTTGCAGGTAATGTTTATTTTTTTTTTTATTTTAGGTATTTTTCACTATTGTATGGTGATGACTCGAATGTGCATGTTCGATATGGTTTTCAGGTCAAAATTCAATGCTCAACTCCAAGATCGAAAATCGGGTTGGTATATCTTTTTTTCTATAAATTCCATTTTTTGCCCTCTGGGTTTTTGATAATTCAGCTGACATTTCTTGATTTTTTTATCCAGGGACGAAGAATCGAAAAATAGCACACCAAAATCTGTTGAAAATGATCGGCAAATGGATTTAGATAATCCACGTAGCAGTAATGTTAGGCCTCCGAGTGAAGACTTTGGCACTACCTCACATCCGATTAAATTAGATAGCGAGGTTAATAATCGAACATACTCATATACTATATTTCGACTCTCCTCATACATACATACATACACGTATATATACAAATACGAAATCTCTTGATTTTCGTGTGCAGGAAGGGAGCCAATCGGAATCATCCGGTGCATCTCAGAGCTTCGACTGTGTGAAAAAGTTATCGAGAAAGAATGCTTTGAAGAGTGAAGTTTACGAATATAATGCGCCCGATTTCGAAAACGTTTCTCCGTCGAACGAGTCATCCTCGAATTCCAAGCTTTATTCGAGACACGATTTTCAAAGCGAGCAAGCAGTGAACAGATTTTCCGCTACAAACTATCTCGGTTCTTCAAAGAACCTTCTAGAAGCAGCGGAAGATACCATCGCTCAACTCCGAGCAGAAGCCAAGATGTGGGAGAGAAACGCTCGGAAGCTAATGATCGATTTGGATATATCGAAAAAGGAATTCTCCGATTTGTCTAAAAAGGAGAAAGAGTTGGTAGTGGAGCTCTCAGCTGAACATGCAGAAAAAGACGGCCTTAATAAAGAAGTGGCGAAATTGAAATTAGAGTTGCAAAATCGGGCAATAAAAGAGGATTCCGTCGGCCAATCGGAAGGTCTCGTTCAGATCCAAAAGGTGCTGGAAAATGAGATAAAATATCAACAGGATTTGAACCATAATTTAGACCAGCAGCTCAAGCAAAGCCAAGAATCGAATATCGAACTCGTTTCCGTTCTTCAAGAGCTCGAAGAGACAATAGAAAAACAGAGGATCAAAATCGAGAATCTAGAAAGTTCCGTGGCTAAAATATCAATGGGTAACAGTAAATTGGAAGGTGATGTTCGTTTGCTTGAAGAATCTTTAAGGGATAAAACCGATGAGATAGCGAGCTTGGAAGCAACGCTGTCGGGTTACGGTAAAGGCGAACATTTCGAGGCGTTGGATGATAATAGTAATGAAAATGATGTGAGAGAAATTGAATTGTTGAGAGAGAAAATTCGGGAGCTGGAAAAGGACTGTACGGAGCTCACTGACGAGAATCTCGAACTTTTGTTCAAGCTTAAGGAATCGAATAAGATGGATATGAGGAAATGTGCGTCGTTCGATTCGATGTCGAGCGAGCATGCGACGAATGTTTGTTGTCCGAGCGACGATTCCGAAGTGAGCGATCGTAAATTTCAGATTTGCCACTTGGAGGAGGAGCTTAAGAAGAAAGTGGAGGAGGAGCAGAATGTTTCGGAAAATTATTCCGAGTTGAATAAGATCTTGGAAATGAAGCTGGCTGAGTCGGAGAAAATTCTCGAAGAACTTGAAAAATCGAAGGCCGAAAGCGACGAGACGTGTGCGAATTTAATGAAGGAATTGGAGGGAAAAAGATTGGAGATTGATGTTTTAGAGGCTAATTTGGTGGCGAAGGTACAGGAGGTTGACTTTCTTTCGCGGGAGAAGATCCGTTTGGAGCAGAATATCGAACTCGCTTTGAGGGAGAAGAACATCTCGTTGGAATCTTTGGAGAATCTTCAGAATGATCTCACTGCCCTTCGTGGCGCTGTCGGTTCGCATGTATCTGCTAATGAAAATCTCGAGAGGGACTTAGAAACGGTGGAAAATAAAAGACGGGAATTGGAAAACAGTTTATCGGGTTTGCATGAAGAAAATACGCGGTTGCACGAACGCATAAAACAACTGAAGGACGAAAACGAGTCTCTCACATTTGATCTCGAACGAAAATTCGACGATATGCAGAAACAGTGGCTATTAGCTCAAGAGGAGTGCGAGTATCTTAAACAAGAGATGAAACTTCGGAATTCAAATTCAGAAGTGGAGACGGAAAATCAAGAACTGCGTGAGAATTGTTCGGCTTTGGTGGCTCAATTAAACGAATCGAATAAAAGTTTGTCCGATTGCTCTTTAAAGGTCGAATTGCTAGAGGGTCGTCTCGCTTCAATGGTAGACGATTTCGAGGTGAGAGAAAACGGTCTGAAATCACAGTTGGACGCGCTCGTTAAAGAAAACAGCTGTCAGAAAGAGAAACTTGCTCTCGAGGAGAGTTTGCATCAGATGTATTTGGAGAAGTCGACGGAGTTCGAGAGCCTCAGTAAACAATTACTATCGGAAGCTCGTAAAGAAAGGGAAAGAATTTCTTTGGAAGCTTCCGGTGAAATTTCCCGTTTGATAGCTGAGAGAGACGAGCTGCGAGCTTCACTTGAAGAAGTGAAGTTGAAAGCCGAATCGTACGATAGTAAGCTCGAAGCAGCCATGCGGGAATCTGAGCTGGCAATTCAAGAATTGACAGGTCAGCTTGTTGACTCCAAACGAAGCCTTGAGAGAGCTTTGAGTTCGTTGGCCGGTTATAAGAGAAACGACGAGAAACTGAAGAGTGAACTGAATGATCTTGAGTTGAAGCTCACGATTTCCGACTACGAAAGGCAGCAACTTATTAAAGAAACGAGTAATTTGAAAGTCCAGCTTCAGAGTTTATCGATTCTTCGTGACGAAATATCGACTTTGAAAAGTGAGCTTGAAGATTGTAGGGTTGATAAGGGTAAGTTTGAGCATGCGTTGAAGACGATTAGTGGAGATTACGAAGAAGTTAAGGCGGAGAATAATTTGTTCAAAGAAAAAGTGTCTGAGTTTGAGGAATGTAAAAGGACAAAATTAGCCCTGGAAGAAAAGCTTCTGCAGATGGAGAAGGAGTTGAGTGAGAAAGAGATTCTGTGCGTTCGAAAAACGGATCTTGAAAACGAACTAACTGAAATGAAGAAATCGAATGTGGAGTTTCAGAAGAAGATGTATAGACTCGAAGAGGAGAGAGACGAATGCTTAAAGAAAGCTCAATCTCTTGAAGAAAATATAAAGTTGATGGAGGAGAGAAATATTAATAACAATAATATGCATGAAGAGGTATTATTTTTCATTCTTGTCTTTCGTTGTAGCTTTTACGTTTTGCCATGATTTATTTAAAATAAATATATTTCAGGGAGGGTACAACCGTGATTTTGACGGCGAAAGTCCTCTTGCTATCAGTGTGGATCCTACGACTAAACAACAGCTGTTTGAAAACGAAGTTGCTGAGGGATCGGATGCAAATAACAGAGTTCTGCATGGAAGGTGAGTATTAAATGTTTTATTTTATTATGGCTATATTCGTCATTTCACGCTACTACACTTTTTCGTCAAAAGTATGAAATGTTTTTTTTTTTATTTAAAAATGTTTTAAAGGTACGAAAGGACAAAGTCGTCATTTGAGACGGAGCTAAGGGAGCTAAGAGAGCGCTACCTAGAAATGAGCCTAAAATACGCAGAAGTGGAGACGCAGCGTGAAGATCTTGTAATGCAGCTTAAAGCAGCGAGAAGTGGAAAGAGATGGTTCGCGTGAAATCGCCGTACATCTTTTCGCTCGAAAGACGTTATTAACCTCAACTAGCAACATATGTGTAGTAACTAATAGTTGATTTTTTTTTTCATGATTAACATTTCTTGGTATGGTAGGACTAATGATAAGCTATGGCTGAAATAGCAAAAGAAAATAATAATAATAACAATGATAATAATAAAATAAAAAAGGAGAAAAAGGCCATTGCAATTTTTTGTACTTGTTCTTTTGTTTATTAGTTAATGAAATAATAATATGCCTCCATGATACTTCTATATGAAGGTTGAGTTTAATTAGTGTGTTCTGATCACTTGTGAGATTTAACTTATTCATTAAAAAAAATGCCAAGTTAAAATTTTGAATGATGAATATATTTCCATGATATTATTATTTTTTGCAAAGGGGTGTTATTAATTAGTAGTGTTGTAGAATACATATATCCAAAGTGTTTGTAATTTTAAAAAGTAGCTTTTTGTGTATTTAGCTTAAATCAAACCTAATTAGAACTAGTGACAATCTTAAATTTGATCTTTTAATTAAATTCCAACTTTCAAATAATATATGAGCCGCATCATTTAATTTTTTAATCCCTAGGTTGCCCTTATACCCTAAATATAATATATATATTTACGTTACTCCAACTTATTAGATATATTTCTCTTATGTTCTTTTCTCTCTGCTTCTCTCTCGTTCTCTCCCTCTTGTTCTTTCTTCCTCTCAATCTTTATCTCTCCACATCTCTCTCGCCGCTCAGTAATGGTTGGGCTGGTGACAGCGGCTATGGCGGTGGCTATGGTCGGTGGGCTATGGTGGCGGAGAGCAATAGATCTGCAAATTCCAGTGGTGGATGGAGAGAGTTTGGTGGAGGCGGCGGCGGCGGCGGGTGGAGGCATGGTGGGGGTTGTGCGGGCGGGGGCTGTGATTTATGGTTGAGATATTATGGAAAATATATTTTGACTAATCAATTGGATCTAATTTTCTTGTGTTTTGAATTTTTTTTGTTTGATTTGGGTTGTTCAAATGCCAGATCTAGGGTTTCCCAAAGTTGGTAGGTGACTACAGTCGCGGCAGCTGCAAGCATGGGTTGCTAGGGCTGGCGGCGGCTGCGTTGGCTGCTAGGGTTTGCGACGGCTAGGAGTTTTTGGTGGTTAGAGTTTGGTAGTAAAGCATAGTACACATTAGTATACTATATTAAATCGTAGTATACCCTAGTACACCACTACACTATATTATACTACAGTACGTCGTAAAATACCATAGTCTACTACAGAAAAATTGAAAAATATGTAAATTGAAATAAAGAAAATAAAAAAATAGCATGTCATTTTTTATTTTATTTTTGTAATTCTCAATATTATGTAGAAAAAAAAGAAAAGAATAAATATATTTTTATAATAGTGTATAAAATGCTAAAATGAATAAAGAAAAAAATGAAGACAAGCGGATATTTTGAAGAAAAAAAATATTAGATGGAAATATGAAAATATTAAATGCATAATAAATAAAATGATAAATGCAGTTTGTAATTTACTTAATGAATATTTCAAATTTGTGAGTGGAGGGGCATTTTTGGAATGAACTTTATAAAAGATGTGAAGCAAATGTTTAGTTAGACTTGTCATTTTGTTCAAATAAGTTTTGTTACCAAGAGACATCCCAAGACCCCTTATTTCTCAAGTAGGGGCATGAACGAGCCGAACTCACCTATTTTGGCAGGCTTCGGCTCGCATGGGCTTTCGTGAGCTCGAGCTCGACTCGAACTTTAAATAATATAATAATAACAATAATAATAATAATAATAATAATAATAATAATAATAATAATAATAATAATAATAATAATAATAATAATAATAATAATAATAATAATAATAATAATAATAATAATAATAATAATAATAATAATAATAATAATAATAATAATAATAATATAATATATATAAAAAATAAGAAGCTCGCGAGTCGACTCGCGAGCTGTCAAACAACTATAATTGGGATCGAGATAGAAAAACTTGAGCTACAGTTCGAGCTTTTGTCGAGCCAACTCGTCGAGTTGACGAGCCGACTCAGCTCGTCTACCACCCCTAATCTCAAGTATGAATTTTGGAGTCCCGCTAGGAATGACCTAGCGGTTGGAGCAAGTGAACTTGTGTTAATTGACCAACGTTCGAATCCCCTTGTCAACGATCGCTAGTGTAGTTTACATATCTCGTATGGTTTTCAAAGTATTATACAAGATTGTAGATTTATTGAGTGCACTTATACGATTGACTAAGAGTTCTTTCGTTATTAAAAAAAAATGAATTTTGGAATAGTGTTTCTTGATTAATTAAGGGTTTAAGTAGTAAATAAAGAAGAAAGGAATAATAATTTTTATTTCTATATGAATTCTATTAATTATATAAAGCAAAAGAACCATCATATAGTACAAAACCCATTAGTCTAAAATCTAAATTGAAGCTACCATTTTGAAATAGGAATATTCTTCTGTACAAAAATTGTTGTATTATAGAAAACTATTAATAATCGATAATGAGTCATGCCCATAATTATGTGATGACGATACTTGTTAATAATTCTTCTATTTCCAACTAGATTTTGCTTTATGTACAATCATATATCACCTCTTTGTACTACACTCTACACTACTTAAACAAAAATTGTACGGCTTCACAAAATAAAAGGCAAAAGTTTAAAATCATTTTCTTATTATAAAATTATATAAAATTGTTTTAAGGGAACTTATATATATATATATATATATATATATATATATATATATATATATATATATATATATATATATATATATATATGTATATATATATGTGTACTGGATTACTCTATACTCCCGTATAATAGCTTACAAATCATATGCAACTATATAGGTGTACTGCTCAAAACATGTTTTTCAGTTTTTGCAAATTCAATTCTCACATTTATTGTTCAATATAAATTGTTTTAAGTTATACTCTCAAAAGTAGCTCTACAATTTTTTTTGGGGCTTAAAAATGTAAATGTCGTCGTTATTATTTTTATCTAGAATAAATTTTTAACCATATTTAAGATACACCAAAATAAGCTTAAAATTACGACGTCTACTTATAAATTGGCTGTGCTTATATTTGATTCATAATGACATTTGGAGAAATTTAAGCAATTTTCAAAACTTTGCTCTAAAAATAATTAAATGAGAGAATTTGATATAATTATAAGCATGTGGAATAGTGAAAGATGCCAAAGGCATATCCGTTGGAAGATGCTTTAACTTTAACCAAAAGGTGATTACGAATTCCTACTTAGTCACCTCATCTTTTTATTATTGCTCTCATCACCAATTTTTTTCCTTATAACATATGCCTATATCAATTAAGCTTTCTTCATTCAAAACCCTCTTATTAATTAATAAATAAATATTACCGTCGGCTCTTTTTTTAATTCATGACCAATGGCGGAGATGGCACAGACTGTGGCGGGCCTGGCGGCGGCTGTGGTGGCAGTGGATCGTGGCGGAAAGGTGGTGCCGCCGGTAAGCTTGCTTAACTGCATGGATGTTGATCCGTGCATAACTTAACGACACGTGGCGGCGGCGGCGCTTGTTGTTATAAGATAGGGCAACTTCTATCCTTTGGCATTTCACTTCAAAACCATCATACATTAATCTCAAGGGCTGGGCAGATTATGCTTTTTTTTTTTTTTTTTTTTATTATTTCTAATTAAGTGCATATTAATAATTAATGTACCTTCTAATTATTATTGGAGAGGGTTTTTTGTCTTGGAATAAACAAATTACAGTCCCCTTGATCAGCTGTTCAACTGTATGCGTTTCCGGTTTAATTTTATGTTAAAAGTTGCAACTATATATATATATTCCATAATTTTGAGCATCTTTGATCCTCCATTACATTATTTACATTACACCAAACAGATAAATTGCTAATTATTATATATAAAATTATTTTAGATGTGACCAATATTTTGGCACGTCATTCTTTCAGCACCATACATCCACTATGTCATCTATACTTTAATTTATAGTACACACTACACATTCATAATATTTTTACTAATTTTCAATTATTTGATTTACTAATTTTCAATTATTTGATAATGGTTTGCCAATCTACTCAAGCAATTATTTATCTCTTATTTTAGTGAATCATTTTGTATTTACCTATTTGGACTGAAAATGGGTCAAAAATAGGTTTTGAAGTTGAACCATGTATACGCCATGTCGTCGTGAAACGCCTCATGGATCGTGACATGGGGTTTTTCCGGTGAGTTTTGGACGAGGATCCACGTCGTAGTCCACACACCCGAATCGCAACTTGGCATGAAATTTCTAGATTTTTTCGAGTCACTGTGTCACAATCCTCAAATTCAGATCGTTACCTCGAATGTATTGTCAACCTGAAAAAGGGGTTGAGCTTACGTCGAGGGCTTTCCAATGATATATCCCGATCGCTGAAACCCGCCAGGAAGATCGTCAAGTCAACATCTTTCCCTCGATCTGTTGGTTGAACCCTAGATTATCTCCAATATTCATGATTTTTCTCTCAAATTATTCCTTCGATTAATCTCTTGATTTTTCTTCGAATTCTATGTGATTTGTTGATGATGATTCTATCGATGGGAATGGGTAATTTATAGCAGAAGTGAAGTTGGAGAAGTGAAGTTGGAAGATGTTATTAATCGGATGAAGATGACGAAGACTTTCTCAGTTATCCGCCTATTTCATAAACTTGATTGCCAAGTTTTCAATTATAGTATTATTATTTATGCTTATGCCCCAATACTATCTCATAATAACACATTAGCCCCAAATCTCATTATTAAGCACAATGAACTCTTAAAGAAAACTCATAAGCATAAATTACGGGGTGTTACACTTCTTCAATAAACTTTGCTGATACTATAAATAGAAGGTCTTTATTTCATTTGAGGGGTTATATAGTTTTTCTCATTTCTTCTTCGATTTCACCAATTTTCATGGGAAGCTTTAACGAGGATTTTGACTCTGGTTTTATGTGTCTAATGGTGCAGGAATCTATAAATAGCGAGCCTTTGAGTGAATCCACAATCCCCCACTAACATCTCTTCGAGTTGCTTCAAGTACTGCATTTTTTTTATAGGCTTGTGGTTTACTATATGCGAAGAAAAGGTATGGAACTGATGGTACAACAAATAACGAGCCCTTGAGCAAATCCACAATCCCTACTAATCTCTCTTTCATGAGTTGCTTACGATACTGTATTTTTTTATAATAGGCTGAAAGAATTTATGGTCCCGAATTC